CAAGTATATTAATGTATTCCTAGGCGCTTTGTATCCGACTTGATCGATCCCAGCAGGGTGTGGTTCCGAGAACATGCCTCGCCGCCAAACCATCCAAGCCCAAGCCATCTCATCTCAACCAATATGCCCGACCACCACCACCTGGGGCGCCGGGCTCTCGCCCCGGGTCTCGGCCCATGTCCCCAGCTGGCGGCCCCAGGTCTGGCATGGGTCCTCAACACCCGATGAGTCCTGCAGGTCGACCAATGAGTCCTAGTGGAAGAATGAGTCCGGCCCCAATGCGTCGACCGATGAGCCCAGGCTTCAATCAAGGACCGAGATCGATGTCTCCAGGCCCGAGAATGGGACCGCCAGGTCGAAGCATGTCTCCTGGACCATATGGTGTTCGCGGCGGTCCACCACCAATGGCCGTTGCAAATCGACCCAGGAGCAATTCTGCGAGCAACGTGAGGGACAAGCGCAACTCTCCTGCCGGTCCGTCGAAGCTGGGACCCGGCGCGGGCATGGCTCTCTAAATAAACAACCTTCGATATCTCTTTAATGTCCACAGCTTCTTCGATGAGACGACCGTTGCAGGCGGGTTCCACCGTGGCCTTAGGACATGTATTTTACGATGGAGATCAGTATTGTTGACAGCTTGTGGACTTAGTGCCTGGACTTGATCTTTTTGTGCTTTAACCTTTCCAACACGATGTGTTTGTTCATTTCTGGAACAAATTGTCGAAGAAGTCTCGCTGTTAAAGAGGGCTGGATGCTGTTTCGCGGATGCTAGTATGGGGACTGGAGAACAGGCGTCCAGGCGAACAAGACAAAGACATGTCTTATGCCAGGATAGATAGATAATACCCCCATGAATGAATATTCCTTACGTTTGAGGACGCGGTAGGCAGATTCTTGGAGGTTTTCTTTGGTCTACAGTTTGAGTAGGGCTCCTCAAACCGTCGGCGCCAGCTGGGCTCGCCACAGCCTCTTCTCATTCAGCAGAAACAGCTCTCCTCGGCCGACCAGAAATTGGCCACTCCGCCCTGCGTACAGATTTTGCCTAACAAAGTTCCTCCAGGCGACCAGACATGGACCCGTCGCCGCATCCGCTGTACACGTTGCCGTCCATATCGCATTTAATGCCGTCAGGGATGCCCATGTCGCAGAACGCAAACACTCTTCGATTCGTTAGGAATGGCTTGCCTGCGTCCTCCTGGACATCAATAGCGTATCTGCACAAGAAACAATGAGCTGCGAGCTTTCCAATGCGGCCAGTATAGAGCGGGGGAAATATACTAAGATTGTCGATGCTCTGGTGTCATCGATATCGCCCGTTCCCCGAGTCCGGTCAGTGTCGGTCACATAAACAGTCTTCTCGTCCGGCGAGAAGCAGATTCCGTTTGGTCTGCCGAATCCATCCGCCATGGCTCGAATTCCGGGCGTCGTCAGCTTGAATCTGTAGACCTGGTTTGGAAGACGTGGTTTTGGGCTTAAACCCTCCATCGAAGCCATAACAGGGATTGGTGAACCAAATGCTTCCGTCGCTGTGGACGACGACATCGTTTACTGCGTTGAACGGCCGTCGATGGAAACCCGCCACAACCAACTGGTCTTGTACGGAGGATTGACGTCCACAAAGTAGAGACCACTGGGAGCAGACCCGGAGCCTTGGGCACAGATTAGCATTTCATCCTGGCCGTAGTTGACACCTCCGTTGACCCATCTCGACCTCGGGACAGCTAATCCCCTCGCTTTGCACATTCCCGTCGTGCGTCAAGATGATCTTGGAGATTTCACTCTTCGGTGACCTTCTCCGTCCACTAACCGGTTGCTCGTGATGAACAGCTCCATTTTCTAGGGCATAAACACTCCCGCTTCGTGAGCGAAGGGGTAATCTTTTTCGAGCAGTAGGTCGAGTTGAGGAGCGTCTCCTATGAGAGCGTGGAAGGCAGAATCGTGTTGTAAAAGAGTACTTCAGGATTCGGGGTGCACGTGCGGCAACGCACAGAGGCCTGTCCAGCAGGTCGGGAATCGAGAACGCGTTTCTGGTTGGCACTGACAAGTCAACACCACCACCACCACCACCACCACCACCCAGAGGGGGGGGGGGGCTAGGGCTACGAACACCTAGCACAGCGGCAGCATCGAGAGACAGGACAGGATTGATCAAACACTTAGGAATTAGGTAGACGGCACCAAAAAGCCATGGAATTCATGGTACTCTGCTCAAACTGTAAAGAATGGCACTCTGCCAGCACTGTGAACTGATCCACACTCCGCTCTCTGCCAGCGCATTTTGGTTTGACATGTGACTAGACAACTTCTCCCCCCTCTGCTACCACTCTACCAGCCCTGCACAGCACTGCACAGCCACTTTGCCTTGTTACAGTATATCTGGAAGTGCTCCATGTTCTCGAGTACAGCGGCCAAAATATCGTTCGAGTGATGGAGGTTTGGTATATTTTTCTCCGTCCTTGCAAGGATGAGGAGGTCAGAGAGTCTCCGAGAGGTGGGGAATCAAAAAGACCTTTTCTCCGTCTCAACTCTCGAGACTATCGTTTGACGGCACTTGTTTCAATGTGTTACAGGATCTATCTACATGTTTGGTGCATGTATGCCAGAGAATTGAGAACTGCTCTACCTCGGAATCTGGTCCAACAAGGGTTCTTCCAAGACTTCCTCAGCTCCACAAAAACATCCCCTAACTATACCACCTTGCTATTATCTACTTAGGCTCGGTTGTTGTCGCCCTTCTCGGGAATCCTGTCATGCAAGTCATACGAGTGACGACGTCGTACTGCTACCCAGGGCCCTTAACCGACAAGCATCTAGAAAAGCATATCTCAATAAGCGAAATGCTGAAAATGGAGGGCTTAATCCGCCTGGCAAACCATATGGTGATACTGCAAGTTTTATTGGCTTGGCAAGTCACAGTGTCCTCAAGTTGCTGGCCTCTGTTTAGATTGTAATTCAGCTCGATTGATAGCCGAGAGCCCTTACCGTCTTATCCCTCCAGTTAGTGTGGATGGCCTGATCCGGCCTCGAAAGACGTCCATGGTAGTGGACGGATAGTTGCATGAGCTGAAGCCGTACTCTGTTGGTTGATCCAAGCCATGGAAGGTTATATATGCTCATAGAGGAGGTTCGCCCCGACACAGGGGTCACTCTCTTCCAACTAAGAGCTACGAGCATATTATCGATTGACTGAAGATTCTCTGGTTTCGGTCCTACTTGTCGACGGCCATCTCTTGCAACTCACTAACGCTGCGGCCAGCATGACCAGCCTCCTCCCTCCAGTAGACCTTGCAGGTCTTAAGGACAAGTGCATTTTGGTCACCGGAGGAGCATCAGGTTTGGGGCTGGAAGCTGCCCAACTGTTCGCTTCAAAGGGCGCATATGTGACCATTGCCGACGTCCAACCTCCCCTAGACGAGGCTATTCTAACAAAAGAAGGCCAACACACTCAATACGTCTACTGCGACGTGAGCGACTGGGACAGTCAAACCGCCGCATTTCACAAGGCAATCTCATTCTCGCCGACAAAATGCCTCGACGTCGTGACAACCTTTGCGGCAGTCGACCCGCTTGAGAATCTGATTGACCAGGTCAAGGCCAGCCCGGAAGTCACCCTGGAGTCGTCGCCTCTTGCTCCCTCGCTCAAGTGCCTCGATATCAATCTGAAGGGGTCATACTATTCGGCGGCTCTGGCGTTGCATTACTTTCAACTCAAGCCGCAAATTCCCCCTTCGCCCTCGGCATCCACCACCGTCACAAAGGCTCTTATTTTCATCTCCTCTCTGGCGGGTTATCTGGACGACGACCACAGCATCGCCTACACGACTTCGAAATTTGGGACGAGGGGCCTCTTTCGCGCCTTGCGTCGCCGATCACGCGACGAGATGAGCACCCGCGTCAATCTGGTTGCACCTTGGGCCATCAAGACGCCGATGACGGCGCCGATCGTAAAAGTGCTCGAGGGCATGGGAATAGAGGAAGGCAAGGGGATTACATTTGCGAGCAAGGAGACCTGTGCGCAGGCTGTGGGAAGAATTGCACTGGACGAGACGTTGCATGGTAGGTTGTCCTCAGTTGGTTTGTTCCTCTTGTCAATCCACCCGAAGCCTCCCCACTTCTGAAAGCTTACCCTGAATCTAACCTGGGACGATGCCTGCCTGTAGGACGAGCATTTGCCATCATGCCGGAAGGAGCATTCGATATAAAAGACGACATTGAGGGAGGGTACGGTGGTGAGGAACTGAAAGTGCTGATGGCGTGGAGGAAGGCCGCGGGAGATTTCCTGCAAGGTTAAGTAGACATCTTTCTGGGGCAGGTCGAAGGGAATACAAATTGGCCTGTTTTGTGATTGAGACGGCCGACTCATGGAGATGAAAGATGCTTTCCCCATGGGACGGTCACCTTCTTTTCAACTACACATAAACATATGTCAGATGTAAATCAGATCGGAGTAGCGCGAGCCAAAGCTGATATCGCAGTCGGAGTTCCGAGCTCCCACCGGCTCTGTTGCCTCTCCTATAAGACATTTTTACCTCCTCTCGCACGCGCGCAATCCAGTTGACAGTCTGTCCGTCTTTTTCCAAACCTAGCGTTAACGATCCCAGCAACGACATGTCGGAAACAGATCCAGGCTTCCTCGCAGCCGTGGAAGAAGCCCGGCAAGGCTTCGCGGAAGGAGGGGTCCCGATAGGTACGTGCCGAACCCGCGCTGTTACTCCCTAGTATTCTTCCCTCTCTCTCCTTTCCTTCTTCCATGTGCCAGCTCTGAACGGGCCGGGGAGATTCCAATGCCTCTGGGGTGGACGAGCAAGGGTAAAAGAGTTCGCTAAGGAAGGTTGAGGATAGGGGCGTGCCTTGTCTCCAAGGACGGCAAGATCCTCGGCCGGGGACACAATATGCGAGTCCAGAAGGGGAGCGCTACGTTGCATGTAAGTCTTCTCTCCTCTCGGATGTCCTTATTTTGGTCTTGTCACTTCTCTCGACCATAACTCTGAGGGTCCATGATGTGCAAGGGCGAAATCTCGGCTCTGGAAAACTCGGGTCGTCTTCCGGCCTCGGCCTACGCGGGCGCCACCATGTACACGACCTTGTCGCCCTGCGACATGTGTACTGGCGCCTGCATCCTCTACAAGATCGCCCGGGTAGTGATAGGCGAGAACAAGACCTTCGTGGGCGGAGAGGAGTATCTCAAGGCAAGAGGCGTCGAGGTCGTGGTGTTGGAGAATGCCGAATGTATCGGGCTGATGACGAGGTTTATCGAGGAGAAACCGCATGTGTGGTATGTCCTGTTCTTTTCTTATTCTTCTAAATTCGCCTTTTGGCATTGGGGACTTTTTCCTCGTGACTGATGGGCAGCCTCCTAGGAACGAGGATATTGGGGAGCAATGATATACAGCAAACCTCCACGCACCCATTCCCTTCCTAAGCAGTGTCCCCCCTTTCCTTTGCAGCCTTTATGCAGTACACCTGTGGATCTCCTCGAAGAAGAACTTCAAATCATCTGGGTCGACGCCGGGGGTCACGCCATGTCCGAGATTCGCGATCCATCGTTCTTTGCCCCCTCCGAAGCCCTCAACCATGTCCTCGACAACTTTCGTGATGGCCCCATGGCCTCCATAGAGCACGCCGGGGTCAGCATTACCTTGCAAGGTGACTCTCCCTCTTGCTATCTTCACCGCACCCTTGGGATCGTGCAACCAATCCAGTCCCACAACATCGTAGCCCAGGTCGCAAAGTTCGTCCAGAGCGTACCATGCACCCTTTGCGAAGACGACCATGGGGACAACGTCTTCACCAATCTCCCGTAATCGCTGGGGTAGGTTCTCTGCAATATACCTTAATGACGGGAGACAGATCTCCTTGAACGATGCCGGCGACAGTTCTCCCGCCCAGGAGTCGAAGACTTGCACAATCTGTGCTCCTGCAGCCACTTGTAATGCGAGGTACTCGACACAGATCGCCGACATCTTCTTCAAGAGGACTTTGCTCTCTTCCGGATACTTGTAGACCCACGTCTTTGCTTCCTTGAACATTTTCGTCCCGCCTCCTTCCACCATGTAGCACAGCAGTGTCCAGGGCGCGCCGCAAAACCCAAACAACGGCACTCGTCCGGCCAACTTCTCCCTCGTCAGTGTGATGGCTTTGTACACGTAGTCCAGTTCCTTCTTCACGTCAACCTCTCTCTTCACGATCTCCTGGTACTGTTTGTCCGACGGGCTCCGGAGTGGGTTCGGGAACTTGGGCCCCACGCCGTCGACCATCAGGACTTCCATGCCCATAGCCTGTGGGATGACGAGGATGTCGGAGAAAATAATCGCCCCGTCAATGAGGCCGTCGTAGCGATCGATAGGTTGGAGAGTCAGGGTGGAAGCGATCTCAGGGGAGCGACAGCACTCGAAGAAGTCGTGCTTGCCTTTGGCCTTATGGTACTCGGGAAGGTAGCGACCGGCTGTTTTTTATCCTCCCCCAAAAAGCGGAACGTTAGTGACTTGGAAACAGCTATAGGAGAGAGGAGAGAGAACACAAAGAGAGAAGGGGCGTGGGCAACTGACCGCCACAGCAGCAGCGTACCTTGTCGCATCACCCATATTGGTGGTCTGTCAACTTTCTCACCTGTAAATCTGGTTTAGAGGGGGGATTGTATTCTGTTGGCACGGTTGGACGCTGTGCCGGCTTCACGCACCTCGTGCGGCTCGAAGGAGTCGATCATTCTTGAGAGGCAGCCAATTTTTCTCCATCTTCCAAAACCTGTTCTCCACGAAATGTCTCTTCTTGGTTTGGGCCGTGCTTGTCAGAGAGGAGGCTGCTACAATATTCCCATTCGTATTTGGACAGTCGTGACTGTCAACGGTGTTTGGAGGGGCAATTTTTCCAATTGCGCCGAGGATTTTCCCAGCCTTGCAGATCCGAAAACCCCCTCGCCCCTCCAGCAAGGCTACGTGGGGCGCAGTAAACAATAGGTACGGAGTGTTTGGACAGTTCCATTGTGTTTTGGTTGCAGTCTCACTTGTATTCGAGAAGAGACATGGCTAATTATCGTTTAGACAATATTCATCACGGTATCTCTTCTGCCTCTGCCGGGGTACCCTGCTGGCTTTCTTCTTCCTCATCTTCCGCCGCAGTTTGGCCTCGTTTCTTCCTGAGATTTTCCAGCCCATACAACACCTCTCCTGCAGCGCTATATGCACCTTTGTCCTTTATGCTGCATTCTGACGGCAACGCCCCCTTGTCACAGTTAGAAGCCGAAGTGTTCAGAAGCATTGCAAGGCTCGAAGTCTCCCAACGCAGGTCTGCTTCAGGAACACCGTCTGGTTCCTTGCCCAGGCCATTTTCGTCATCGCGAAGATTGGAAAATAGCTCAAATGTCTCAAACGCACCTGCTGCTGGTGTCGTCTCAGGTCTCAAGACCCGTACCGAGCCAGGCTTATGTATCGTGTCAATGCCGACAATAATTCCCCACAATGCTGGGCCAATGGTAACATCCAAGACGTTTCCTCCTAATGTTAAGGTCTGATGATGCCTCAAGCGGCCTTCTTCCGTAACGCTGTAGCTCAGGAGAATGGGAAGCCTTGAATTTGCTCAGCTTCAGTTCACCAAATGCGCAGTGAGTACTTACCCTTCGAGCGAGACTAGGATCAAACGAGGAGGCTGGCGAGAACGTGGTGATTTGCCTGACATGGCGTAGTGCACAGGCCAAATATTGGACACTGCCATGGCATCCAACGGACGTCTACTATCTTCCAAACCCAGGCAGTCGAATATGTCCTTTCCCACATCGCCTTGGAAGAGCTCCTGATCCAGCAACTGCCCCGTCTGCCAGTGGTAAACCTTCAAAGAAGGCTCACCGCTCCCTGCCACAAGTATTTCCGAGTCCCAAGGCATGATACACAGCTTGCTCACAAATTCGCGATGGCCGAAGCAATAGTTCTCGATTATGTGAGCTTGTGACACCCCCCGGGAGACGCGAATATGCTCGTCTCGGTCTGAGGTCAAGATGTATTGGCGGCGCTTCAATCCAGATTGGACTTCGGTGATGGCGACGTCAGTCAAGAGCGACACATGGCCTAACAGCAACTTGCATTCAAACTGGGGGCCTTCCTTCTTGGGTTGAGTCGCCTTCAGCTGGCGCTGCTGTCTCAAGGCCTCAAGATTGCCCTTCGTATGCACTGTTAACTCTGAGGCAGAGGGAGTATAGGCCGCTGGTTGTTGGTCCTGATCAAGCTTCTGTGGTGTCCACCCCTCAGTGGGATGTAAGGGGAGCAGATAGACATCGCCAAATTTATCGCCTAGGAGAAGACTTTTCTCATCTGGTGTTAAGACGATTGCGCAAATACGCTTTGGCAACGACCTAAGTATACTAAGCAACACGAGCCAGCGCACCTGCGCAAGCATTACTTACCTTCGACTCTTCAGGTGCAAGACTCCTCCAGTCAGTACTTTGAACACAATGGCGGATTTGTCCTCGGCCGTGACGCAGATGACTGTCTTCCCGTCACTGGTAGTGATGATATGAGAGACGTTCGGCAGGGAGGTGTTTTCTACCTTGGGCTTCCGTCGCTCACCCTTCTTCCTCTCCGATATGATTTCGATCGAGTCTTCTGAATCTTGATGGGAGGCTTCCCCACGAGTTCCTTCCTCGAGTTTTCGTCTCTTTGGGGCCCTAGCTTCCTCGCCGTTGGTCACGGCTGCATTATATTCTTCGTCCTCAGTGTCAGATGGGGGCCATTGGCTCAAGAATGATCCATCCTTCAAGTCGAATGAGTTTATGACTGGCCCTGAAGCTGCCAGAAGAAAAGGTTGTTCACCATCCACTGGTTGGACGCAGCATAGCTTTTGAAACGGACAGGGCACCATTGAGACACCGGTAACACCTTCCAAGCGTCTTTACAGAGGGTGGGTAGCCGGTGTGGAGGTTTGCAGAAGACTCGCATCTATAGAGTCGCACCACCAGATGGCTATCTGTTCGGAGATTTCGAAATACCCCAGAGGCAAGAATTAGTAGTAGTATTTGTTGAACATTGTGATATGGGCAGGGCATGGAAATTTGGTAGTGCTCTCATGAAAGAATGCTCCGCCGTTGATGCCAAGGCCACACACGTGACTCAAATCGCACCCACGAAAATATCCCAGATTCAATCCGAAAAAGTTGCACCTCGACCATCACCAACAACACCACTGTCATATTCGCAACGACTGCCCTTAAATATCCTAACTTCATCCCTTAAGAAGTCATGGGGGGCAAATCAGGCACAAAAGCTGTCTACTTCGACAAGCTCAAGGGCTTGCTCGAAGAGTACAAGTCAATCTTCATTGCAAGTCCTCCTAGAAAGACAAATGGGCTAGCAAATTAACAATTCCCCCAGGTCAGCGTCGACAATGTCTCGTCGCAACAGATGCACGAAATCCGACAGAACCTGCGCGGCGAAGCGGTAGTCCTGATGGGCAAGAACACCATGGTCCGACGAGCCCTCAAGGGTTTCATCGCCGATAGCCCCGAATACGAACGTTTGCTGCCTCACGTCAAAGGTGCGCACGTTTTAAGGCAAGAGGAGAAGGAATGATCAATCTGACCGTTGGCAGGAAATGTTGGATTCATCTTCACTAACGGTGACTTGAAGACTATTCGTGACAAGATTCTTTCCAACCGTGTCGCAGCCCCTGCCCGTGCTGGTGCCATTGCTCCTGGTGATGTGTACGTTCCAGCTGGAAACACTGGCATGGAACCCGGCAAGACCTCTTTCTTCCAGGCCCTCGGTGTCCCCACCAAGATTGCTCGTGGTACTATTGAAATCACCACTGACCTCAAGCTGGTCGAGGCCGGCGCAAAAGTCGGTGCCTCAGAAGCCACCCTGCTCAATATGTTGAACATTTCTCCTTTCACCTACGGCATGAAGGTGGTACAAGTATATGAGGAAGGGCAAACCTTCGCACCCGAAGTGTTGGACGTTGAGGAGAGTCAACTGCTAAAGTCACTCACATCGGCGATCACTACTATTACCACCATCTCCCTTGCTGCCAACTACCCAACCCTTCCATCCATTATTCACAGCTTGATCAATGGTTACAAGAAGGCCATCGCGGTGGCGATTGAGATCGATTATGAGTGGGAGGCCATTCATGAACTTAAGGATCGCATTGCCAACCCTGAGGCGTACGCTGCTGCGGCCCCGGTGGCTGCGGCTGCTACTGAGGAGGCGGCGCCTGAGGCGGCCAAGGAAGAAGAAAAAGAAGAGGAGAAGGAAGAGTCTGACGACGAGGGTAAGCCTACATCTTTTCGCGGAAATCTAATCGTTCGAGCTAACATGCACCAGGCTTCGGTGGTCTGTTCGATTAAGTACCTCGGATGTAGGCGGGTATCAGCACGTGCACATGCAAATGACAGGCTCGAAGCGGTCACAGCTAGAGCAATAGACACGCGACATAGCATGGAATAACATGATTGCCACACAATGCTGATCAGAACTTTTCGAAGCTTACGGGAGGTACCGTCGCTTTTCTTCGCGAGGATCTTTCGGTAAGCTATTATCCTTTCCCCTCAATTTGAAATTAAAGACTGTGTGATGATCTATTTTTAACCCCGAGAACTTGTTTGCTCCATGAAGAACAAAATTACGCAACAACACTCTAATTTTTTACTGACTCCATTCCTCCTTCGATTACTTAACCTTGGCCCTTGAAGTCAAAATGCTGATTATTGCTTTGAGGTTTAGAACCCATGAAATTACAGAACCTGCATTCGGCCTCGCCCCTGTCTCCGAACTACCCGGAATCAATACCTCTCCCAATGATCAAACATCTGCCTTGAAGCTCCGTGCTGTTCTCATGCCTCGCTCACGTCTTGAGACGACTCTGCGTCCTGCCTCATTCTCAATCTACCGGTTCCAATGCCCTCATACTTACTGTTTTGACCGGAAACTCGTTCGCTAGATCTCCGAGATTTCGCAGGGTCATCTACAGAATCGTCTAGACTAAACGGATCGCGGATGAGGCAATGAAAATTGCTAGGCGGCGAAGTGCTTTCGTTTTCTGTTGTCTTCAGCCACCACTGGCTTCTTGTCTTCTTCCAGCTTGACCGCTGGCTTCTCGTCTACTTCCGGCTTCACTTGAGTTGGGGTTTCCCATGTCGCTTTGTAACGGTCCCACAGCTCATCCACGGATTCCCCAAACATGGCAGCCCAAAAGCTTTGCTCATGATACTTCCCTCTTCGCATGAATTCGTTCATTAGACTCACAGTGCCAGGCCTTTGTAGTGACTCAAGCCACTCAAGGAACCACGCGGTCTTTTGGTAGCCCTCGTCCCATTTGCGCCCTCTGTTTTCGGGCGACTTATTCCAATGCGGTGGGGAAAGGCCAGCCTTCAAGCGGACGAAATCTGCGATGCCCTCAATGAGCCCGCCTGGGGCGGTACCCTCGCAATCGTGTTGGAAGCAGTGAACCATCTCATGGGTGATGACCCCGGCAATCTCGTGGCGGAGTCCTGCCGCGTCTTTCCGTAACGATAGACCGTGAACGTAGTCGAGGGACAGATGAATCTCCTTGTGGAGGTCATCCAGTGGCAATCCCGTGGTGTAGGCAACTCCACCCATGCTGCGCAGGACCACCGTGACCGATCTGACTTTGGGGATGTCGCCCGAGCCGCAGGGGTGGTACAAGCAGTCCATGACATGCTCAATGGCTCGAGTCAAATAGAGACCTCCATCTAGGCAGCTACAAGCCACTTGGGCAGCTGGGTGACCAATGTCGTCGAGGTGAAGGCGGAGGAGGGGCTTTGGGGGCATGTTGTTTTGGTGGTAAGATAAAGGCAGGGGCGGTTTCAATGGATTTGCCCTCCTGTGTAGGAAGCAAGTAAGAGATGGAGATATTAGATGGAGTTTGATGAAGACAGTTCTCGCAGTTGATCAATGGTTGACCAGCTGAAAGTTCTTGGTTGGCCATATCGCGCCGTTCCAAAAGGGGTTTTGAGGGGGTGGGCAAGGAGCGGCAAGGCGGCAAGGCGACACCATCTGCAGCTTCTGATTGGCTTGCGCGCCAAGCACAGCCGATCAAACTTCCGCCTGCCGCTCCGAGTCAGTTCGCCTTGTTGCTTGCCAAAACATCAACACAAAGTCACCGTCTTCATCTTCTCCTCCTCCAACCTTCTCGCCAACAACGTTTTCTCAACCTTTGGAACCGTCGTTGATATCCATATCCATGAACAACAAGACCCTCTATCTCAAATACCCTTGCCACTGCCCTACGCCCTGATCAGGTACGTGTGAAATTTTCATATATATTTCCCAGCTGGCCCTTCTCAGTCCCGTGGACACTTCTCCAACACATTCCCATGTTCAAGAGATCACAATTGCTGCTGTACGCCATTCGATTCAAACTACCTGTACTGAATTGCTTCATTGCTCTACCTTGTTACACTGCTTTAAATCACTATTCTCCCACTCTATCTTCCAATTCGTGCAAGAATACCATTGGGTATCTCGCAAGTGGGACAATATGGCGTTCTTCTGTGACCACATGACCTTCCGTATGCCGCTACTGTCGCTATCTAGTTGGGTTGTTCTTCATTCGCTGACATGGTCTTGTATAGTCAAGGCTACTACTGCCAATACATTCAACTACACAGCCAAGAAGGTCAATACAGCCATCCCTGCTATCGGAAAAGCCGTCTATTTTGCCATTGCAGGCGCTAGAGCCAAAATGCTCGGCAAAACTTATGCTGATGTGCTCAACTTCCTGCATTACGAATTCACCCTTCCAGAGACCGAGGAAAGCTGGAAGAAGCGACAGGATCTTCTCGCCGAGCTCTCGGACATCTTCGAAAAGCGCAAAGAAAATAGCGCCATCCCAAACGACTTTGTCCAAAAAGTCAAAGCCGTCTTGCCTCACATCGTCACCACTGCCGGCTCTGAGCGTACCACTCTGTCTGCTCAAGCCTGCCGAGCTCTCTCAAACATTGCAAAGCACCTCGAGACCCAAATCCAGCCGCAACTCGATCTCCTTCTTTCTGGTCTCATTGTCATCTGCGGTTCGACCAAGACGGTCAATCAGAAAAATGCCAATGACGCAATCGTCAACATCTGCAAACATGCTGGTTACAGCCCTCGGTTGTTCTATCACGTCTGTTCTGCATTCAAAGATAACCGCATCCCTCCCCGCACCTATGCGCCCGAATGGCTACGCATCCTCATCGAAACCTATCGCACTCAGATGGACCGCGAGAAAGATGCTCCTGCATGTGAAAAAGCCATCCTCCAAGGCCTCACAGATGGACAAGTCAAAGTGCGCGAGAACAGCCGTGCTGCCTTCTGGACCTTCCATTCATACGACCCACGAGGTGCCCGCAATATCATGAATGGCCTCAACACTCATGCTCAAAAGGCTTTGAAAGCCGATCCACACAACCCAGACAAATCTTCGGCCACTGCTGCCCAAGCTAATGCTGTTCCAAGACCAAAGTCGGCGCTTGCCTCTATCAAAGCTCAGAACAAAGAACGCATGGCTCAGAGCCAAGAGTCGTCGCAGCAACGTGGCTTGACCCCTGAACCGATCAAATCCGACGACTTCAAACTCTTTGGTACCATGGAGGACGTCGAAAAGAAGCCGAGTCTTCTCTCAGCCCCTGTCAGGAGACGCATCGTTGCCACTCCAATGCCTTCAGTCAACAGTGTTCAGCGTCCTGAATCTCGCGGCCGAGCTGTAACGTCGGCGTCCTCCGTCTCGAAAGACAACACCATTAATGTTGTCCCAGAAAGTGTCCTCAAATCCAGCTATGAGACAATTAAATCCGACGGCAAAGAAAATGCCCTCAAATCCAGCTATGAGACAATCAAGTCCGATGGCAAAGAAAATGCCATGGTGATTCGTCCACGGAAAAAGCGATCTCCAAAGAGATCACCTCGGCGTTCTCCCGAGCGAGATGGCCTTGCCTCCGAGAAAAAGACCCTTTTGATGGCCATGGAGGCACTTCGACGTTCCAGTCTTGATGCTCTCGGCTACCGCAGGCTCAGGAAACTGATTGAAGAAAACCCTGGTGTTTTGATCACCAAGCACTCACAGTTCAACGAACTCTTTGAACTCCTCATCAACAACATGGTGTCGTTGGATATGATCACCGAATCCCGAGATAAACGCGCCACAAACCTCAACCATCCAGCTTATAACACACACACGATTCTCATAACGTTGGTCCATCTCTTCCAACAATATCCCCAGTGGCCTGAACCACAGCCTGGAATGACACTTTCCGCACTACTCATTGCTAGATGCAACCACAGCTCCTCATATGCATCTGTGCTTTCGGCTATCGACGACGGTGCCTTTCTTCTGTGCAGTCACACGCAGACTGTTCTCCCCACGATCGATGCCGTCCTCGACACGCTCGAACAGATTGAGTACATCATTACTACAAATGATCCTATTGTTACCCCCAAATCAACCGATACTATTTTTTACAACAGCCTCCAGAGTCTTGCGTCGGAGTTTGGCCCGGAAAAGTCTCGCTTTGCAAACAGGCTCCCTATCATTATGGACTTCGGCTTGAAGATCCTCAATGCTCTCCTCATTCGGCTTGTTTCCTGCAACGAAACTCTCTACGAGATCCAAGAGGATCGCCTCGCTGCGTATGCCGAACACCTTCTCGCCAGCTACACATCCATCATCAAAAGAGCTGTCATGAACTTTTGCATCAATCTTCATGCTGTCATCAAACCCGAAGCCAGATTCTACAAGTACTTCAAGAAGGAGTCGGACAAGAACCTGATTCATTATTATGTTGACGTTGCTGGAACATCTTATTGAGTGATGCCCCCAGAGTGTTATTATTATTATTATTATTATCATTACTAGTATGGAGGATGGGGTCGGATTCATTTCTGGAGTTCAAGGGACAAGGTGGAGGGAGGCTTTCTCCTTTTGCAGCGAGTGCTTTTGTATTATTATCATTATCATCAGCATCATCATGAAGGTCACTGTCGACGACGTCTTACGAGCAGTTGCTGGCATTGCACAGAAACCCAGGGATTATGTCCACTGGATCTTGGTAAGTGGCGTTCTCTGGGAAGAGTGGAATTGGGCACGGCAATGGATAGAGAGAAGATGAATTCTAATCATTTCCAAAATTGCTTCTTCGCTTTTCGCCAGCGTACTTTTGGTGGCCCCCATCCTGATCCCACAGTCACCTACTACACGAAAGTCTAGGTAGTAGTTCTTACTGCACGTAGCAGATCAGGCTGAAGCGACCCAACCCTGAAGTCAGGGGCTGTGCCAAGTGAAACAGTAGATTTCTGCACGCGGCCTGGAGTAATCTGCCATGGTGGTGTCACACAACCTGAAGGCTAGAATCTGACCCATCAGTGCCAGCGACGTAAGCAATTCGGAGATAGCAGGAGTGGGCTCGTTGTTCAACAGATTGGTCTCCACGCCGAAATGAAGACGGGTTACATATGCTGAGAGGTAAGTATGTAGGAGTAGTTCTCATCAGCGCCCCCCGAGTTCCCAGGGGACTGCCGTCCAGCTCCTTTGATCGATCAGCGAACGGCGTGACAGTAGTCGGTGCGTATGTGATTGCGCATTGCATCTCGCATCAAAACCCCCCTGAGACTCCAGATGAAGGTTCACCAGATTTTCTGACTGTGTTGACGCTAGGTCACTAGTCATTTCGCCATTGAGTGCGACTACTAAAAATGCTCCGGTGGTTCGAGTCGATCCAAGCGATCAAAAGCGATCACGCAGGACTAGCAATAACAAGAGCCTAGCTGCAGCAACGCCACTACAGCACCATGGACATGCGCAACCTCACTCGTTCGATTGCACCTGCAGGTCTTTTTAGCGGGGCACTTGGGTATGCGTCGTCCACTAGCCTGGCCACCTTTAACTGGATGGGGGCCCTTAAGTCTCCTGAGCGCCCACTAACAGTTGCGCCCAGGGCACAAACTGCACGAGCACGTTCAACCAAATAATGCACACGGACCCTGGAGGGCCACTATTCCCCCGAAAGACATCTGAACTCTGTGCAAACTCCCAAGCAACGTCTTCAGCACCACCAAACACCTCCTCTCGTTTTCCCACAACCAGAAGCTGGCCCCCCATTGACAGCATCTGCCTCCTTCTATGCGCCCTTGTCATTCACCAAGTTCGACACCTGCTGTACGCACCCTATTACTGCCAGCAGTTCTACCGTCATGATTCTCCCGTCACCGCCATCGATCCGTTTGACTTGACACGATCCTGTCACCTGGCTGCTGTCTGCGCAACCACATCCACTCTCTCACTCTCTCACCTTCCTCCGCCCGGCCTTGTCTGCACGAGCTGAACCTCCACAATCCTTAAAAACTTGTTTACCTTCGTTCTCTACCCTTATCCTTGTACGACCACAGAGATAGTCTGCTGGAGCATCTTCACCTTGATCTTCGAAGTTCCCAACTACTCTCGTTGGCTTATTGGCCACCAACGCAAAAGAAAGACCATACACCGATCCTCCGCCACGGCACGAACGTCGATTGTCCCTCTAGTTTGGCCGAATCAGTGTTGCAGCTGCAGGCAGCACACGACCTTGCCCATCAATCAGAAGGATAAAATAATTCTGCCAGTTGTACAATGTATAGGACTTGACCGTGTTCGAGCTTTGTTTGCAGCCAAAAAGTGGGATTATTAATGCTATACAATCATACTGTCTCTCTGAACCGGCGATCTCATGTGGACGTAAGCCCGCCATATGTCGACAATCTGCAGTAAATACCGAGATCAGAGGACATAATGGCCACCGCGATGGAATCCCCTGTGGCCTTTCCCGACTCCCCCATGGACCCAGATGACGCCGCCTATCCTTGTAAGGGTTGTGGAAAGGTGAGAGTTCTCCAAGTCTACGGTCAGACAAACAGCTGACGAGAGAGAAAACAGATCCTCGAGGAAGGCAAAGCATTCGAGCTCGGTAACATGGCACTGTCCCTTTTCGTGGGAACAATCTCGTGACTGACATCCTCAAGCTGGGAATAGATGGCACATTCACTGCTTTGCGTGCAATACTTGTGGTACCCTCCTCGATTCTGACGCAAATCTGCTTCTCCTGGGCGACGGATCTTTGATATGTAACAATTGCACCTACAGTTGCAGCAATTGCGGAGACAAGATTGAGGACCTGGCAATTCTCACCGGAGATCAGGCCTTTTGCGCCAATTGCTTCAAATGCAGAAACTGCAAGAGGAAGATCGAAAATCTACGTTATGCCAGGACGTCACAGGGCATATTCTGCATGGACTGCCACGAGGCTCTTATGGCCAGGAGACGCAAAAAGACCGCTAAGAACACCGCACAGCGCTCCAAAATGTCAAACAACGTCCAGCTCGACAAGTCGTTGCCTGCAATTCCCCCCCCAGAGGCCAGGAAGACTACCTACATTCCGGAAAGCCAGTCGTCTCCCTTTCCCGAGGTTTACGCAGAGCCCCCTGCAGCAGGTGCCCCCTCTGTGAGTAAGACGGTCAGCGAACTGCAAGCAGACTCGGACTCGAGGCCATCCACATCGGATCAGAACCATGCGCGTGGTAAGAAGCCCATCTCCAAGCCTCGTGGCTCGCATGCTAATCCTGGTTTATTTCCAGATATGCTCACGTTACCCTCAACCACCTTCCGCAATAACCGACATTCAATGATGTCGCAGCGATCAGATCTCTCAGGAGGAGGCGAAGAATTCTTGATACCGCTTGCCTTTGACCCTACCCCGCAACCTGCAACGCAGTCCCCTAGCATTCCAAACCAAATGATTCAGAAATCCGTCGAAGAGAAGCCAACCGATTATTTCACCAGCAAGTCCACCGCTCCAATACCCCAGTCGCAAATTTCCAAATCCAATACATCAAGTCCCCATATCGCCTACCAAGAGAAGGGCCGTCTACCCTCAAGAGAAGCTGTTGAGCAAAGCCGCAGAGGAGCAAATCTGAGCATATCTGGCTCTGCCACAGTATCGCCCTACATCCCGGTGGAGCGGCCTAAGAAGTCAGAGGGTTCACCTCGTTTATCGCAGATTGTTCACTCCAACGAAGCACAACACAACGAAAGATTCAAACTTCAAGAAGCCCCTAAATCCAAGAAGTTCTCCGCATCGACCCCGGGCTCACGTTCAGAGGATTCAACTCCCAGAGCCGATGCCCCTACAGATCCTTTGGAGCAGCTTGCCGCCAAGACATTGAATGTCCCGGACATTGGGTCACCATCAGACCACGACTACTCGACGCCCCTGCTGTCGAACGATTCAAGTCCAGCTTATAGTGGCTCACACGAATCTCCCAAGCCGGCACAATTGCCCGCGACATCGATCTTACAAAACCTCCCCAAGCGAGGCGACTCTTTGGACAGCGCGAAGCGGAATCGAACGATACCTAGGAAAGAACTGGGCACTGCGGCAAATATTGGGCCTCCGTCTGGCGGAAGCCTGGTGAACAGCGGCTCGTCCACTCCCAAAGCGCCAGCCGATCTTGCCAAAGCCAATGGTGGAAAGATCATTTCTGGTCCTATAAGTTCACCGAACTCAAAAAGTATCTTCGATACGGGAGATGATTCTCTGATTCAAGATCTTCAGGGTGTCACCAAGACAGGTAACGAATCTTTCGTGGACCCTCGCATACCTCCTTTGCCACCTTCCGATCACTCAAGGTCGAGAAACGAATCCTTCAGCACCCTCCAGTCCGACAATCAAAGATATGTGGATGGGTTCAAGTCACCAGGTCTACCTAGATATTCAGCGGGCGGAGAATTCACTATGGATGAGGATATGGCCCGGATAATGGGTGGAGAAGAGCCCAGCGCGCATGAATCATTCCTTAGGAGGGTCTCGAATTCTGTTCGCCATGGTCGCAGCTACAGTGACAAAACCGGACGGCTTTCGAGGGACCGCTGGCCTCGATCGCCTGCCATGCCCATCTCGTCGATTGGCCAGGAAATCAGCAGTCCTAGTACTGCCTCACCGGAAAATCGCGATGAACTCGCCTGGTTCAAGAATGAGCTTCGACGTGAGCGGCAAAAGATTATTGAGCGGGAGAAGAGAATAGCTGAATTGGAAATGCAGCTTGACTCGGCCGCAAATATCAAGCAGGTAAACGTCGAGCTCAAGGAGAAAAGATCAACCATAGTTGTTCTCGATACACAAAAAGAGATCGTCATAAGAGAGTTAGAGGTCCTTACGGAGCACCTGGCTGCTGCCAAGCACAGCGGGGAGCCGTTCGACCTTGGCAGACTGAGCAACGTCGTGCTTCGCGAATTTGCAGAGGCATTGGAAAAACTAAAGGACTCGTTCGGGCCTCAGATCGAGGCTTCAATCCAGAAACGAAATGATTTGGTGGATGAGATAGCCAGTCTCACTCAAATGAAAGATAAGAGCTTTATGGAGTTTGAACAGCTGTCTTCGAAGAATGCCCAGCTGGCTGAGCTTAACAATCAGTTGGTACACCAGATTCAAGGCTTGTACAAGGCCAATTCGGGGGCGCAAGCAGATCAGCAAAAGTCGGCCATGAATGGACTTGGAATCTATTCTCACCACAAAGAGAAGTCAAACGTCTCTTTTGATTCGAGGGAGACACGCAACATGTCCACCGACTTGACCAATATAGATTCAGCAAGCACTCTACAAGGTGAAGCAGAGCCTGTGACCGTCATCCAGGGTCCTCAAATGGTGGACATCCGCAAAGGCCAACCAAGGAAGTTTGATTGGAGAAAAGGACAGAAGGTGGCCAAGGGTGTCACGAAAGGTCTGAAAGGGGCGTTCTCCTCAACTCAACAGAACTACAGCCGAGACCTACAGTTTGCGGAGACAGGGGCTTATGGGTCAACAACTGCCGCTGGTCAAGAATATTCAAGTCTGCCGAAGACGAAACCGGAACCTGTCAAACAAAGTGGCTTTGGTTTCTTTAGCACTCAGAAAGTGGCGCCCAAGTCCAACGGTCTGTACGCCGCCCAAGCTAATGCGAGCACACCGTCTTTGCTTGCAGAAGCTGGCGCACGTAAGGAGCTGCCCCTCTGGTTTGATCCTACTCCCGCTAATGATGAAAACAGAGTTGTTTGGCTCCGAGCTCGAGCAACGGGCCGAATATGAGAAGACCACTGTGCCTATGATTGTGAGGAGGTGTGTTGAAGAAGTAGAGTCACGTGGTGAGTCCTGGTCAAAAAGCATTTCTTCTAGCCACGCTGACCCTCATCAGGTATGGATGTTGAAGGCATCTACCGAAAATCTGGAGGCAACTCGCAGGTACAGCAAGTGAAAGACTGGTTCGAGAACCCATCAAAGGAATTTGATCTTTCCGATCCCGACCTCGACATCCACGCCGTTACTTCTGGGTTGAAACAGTATTTCCGACGGCTGCCCACCCCACTTATCACCTTTGATGTCTACGATAAACTGCTCGATACCACGACGATTGAGGACAAAGGGATGAGAGTGGACGCAATGCAACGAGCGTTAGAGGAACTACCAAGGGTTCACCTTGAGACTCTGGACTTTTTGATTCGGCACCTCGCACGGGTGGTTCAATTAGAGAAAGAGAATCTCATGACGAGCATGAACATCGCCGTGGTGTTTGCGCCGACCATCATGCGACCAGAAAGTCTGAGCCGTGAGCTTAGCGACACCAAGATGAAGAATGAGGCGGTGATGTGGATGGTGGAGAACAGCGAAAGATTATTTGGGAAGTGAAGAGCAAAAGAGGCGAACCGCTATATTTCCGAAGCATTGAATAGGGACACGTTTGGATTGGGCTGAGTTCAGGACGCAAAGAGCAAGGCCATCTCTTGCGGCCAATTATGACCACGATACTCTGTGTTTGTACTACATCCATTTCAGCCTGGCGCCGTACGGAAAGGGAAACGGATTCTTGTACGGGCAAGGTGGACAATCTCATCCGTCATTGTCTGTCCAGAATGGAAGAGATGTGTTTGGCTGGGTCTTCTGAATTGCTGTATCTATCGTTTTTCGTTTTCTTTTTTGGGGGGGGGGGGGTTGGATGTGGCGAGATACTGTTGAGGAATGAAAGAGATCGGACAGCAGCCAGGGGATTCAAAGTTCAAGTTACAACTGTGGGCGATCTAAGTGACAAATTGGATTGGGATGGTTGAGACAAGGAGAAGAAAAGACAATACCCGTCTTTTGATGTTGCCTACTGATTATAGAGGGCCTTCTATACACCGAACAAGTACTCGGTACTCGATACGCGGCGCAAGGGAGGCGAAAATGGGGACAAGGTAGAAAGAATATCTGCTGAGTACTTGAACTTGGCACCGAGCCTGGTCAAGTGTTGAACTTGGTAGGTAGGCAGCGTAGGAGGGGCCCACAAGTGGAAAGGCCTCCTGCAACAGCGGCCGCGACCACTAAGCTCCTACTGTATGTCCCCTTAGCCCTACCAAGCCAGGCCTACGGCTTGGGAGCCCGACCCTCGTTTTAGGCTTTCGGCTGGCTCCTCTCCGTGCTCGCCAATGCCATGCGCAGTTCTACACTCACGTCTTTTGGTGCAGAATACGTACACGTCTCGACGTCTGGATGAGGACCTACACTTCGTTTGTGGACGACAAACCGTGGGCAGGCTGTGTTCTTCCATCTGTACATCTAAAACAGCCATGAATCATCTGTCTCCCTCGTCCTCCCTATTTCCGCCCTCTAGAAGATGATGTTGTTAACCTCACTCTCACTCAACGATGAATCAGCAACCACCACAACCTCTCTACACCGGGCCTCGACAGCCTGCGCCCGTCTCTAATGGCGACCACAACTTCTCCCAGCCCAGGCCTCATACGAGGCAGCCCGACCAGCAGGATACCAACCAGTCTCGTGCCGCGCGATTCGAAGATGAGAAGAGGCGCATCATCGACGCCTGCTTCAGCAAGCGAGATCCCGAGGGGATGCAACTCGAGTCATATATCACCCACGTCCGAGTGCTGGAAGATGCTTCATATCCCTCCTCCCCTCCTCCTCCGGACTCTCCTAACTCCAACAAGAAGCACAGGGTCATCCTCGTCGCCGTCCGCCGCTCCGGCAAGGTCAGAGTCCACAAGGCCCGCGAGAACCCTAATGGCTCTTTCTCCATCGGCAAGACATGGAATCTCGACGAATTGACCGCCATCATTTCATACACGGCCCTCGTGCCCGCCAACCCCCAGCAGCAGATGGAGAAGCAGTGGGCATCCAACACGGGCTTCACCGTGTCTCTGGGCAAGCCCTATTTCTGGTCTGCCCCTACTCCGAAAGAGAAGGATTTTTTCATTGCCAGTCTGATCAAGATATACCGAAAGTACACCGGTGGAAAGCTTCCAGATCTCATAGGCTTTGCTTCGCAGGAACTACAACATATCACTGGTGTACCATCGACTCAGAACACCCCTACCTCCAGGACCAATTTCTCCCCGATCGTCCCATCGCCAACTCCCCCGCCTGCTCTAGCTCCGAGCCATCCAGCTTCCGTGCCAGCTCTCAGCACGAACCGGCCACAGTCTCCATATATTGTTCAGCCTCCCCCGAGCCGAGATGGCAATCGAACGGAGCTACAAGACCAAAACAGAGCTTTCAGCCGGCAAGAATATCGCCCCCCGACCAGAGAGATGGCGCGACCACCCTCTCAGGCCGAAGAGCGGCCTTTGGGCTTACCACCTAGACCAACCCGGGGCGCTCTGGTGCAAGATAGCTCTCGCACACAGCCTTATAGCGTTCAGATAAGGCGTGACGAAGCTCGTACGCCGTCGCTGTCCGACAGCCTACAACCGGCCCCGCTGCGACCATCCATCAGTCCAAAGGCTTCTCAATCGTCACTCCAGCGAACCGATTCTGCACTTGAGCCACCGCCTCTGAGACCCAATGGCCCCGGCGTCGCAAAAACCAGTGGTCAAGACGTTGCGGTGAAAAGAGCAGGGCCTATGCAGGGTCAAGATTCAATGAGGGATGCCGGCCGCGGCGAACCATTAAGCAACTCGAGGCCCAGCACGGCAGCGAGCGATCGCAGGACGCCTGAACCGCCTGCCAGCCTCCCAGCTCTTGACTTTGAACTCTTCCCCGAGCGTAAAAAGCCAGCCCCTGCTACAACTGACCTCAAATCCGAACAACCGGCTCCTCCGAGTCAGAATAACAGTGCGTTTGTAACTCCGTTAGGGACACCGACCGCCATCAAAGAGGAGCACTTGCAGCGGAAACCGGATTACTTCGTGAACGACAAGGCCGCGGGGGAGAATAAGCAACCACAAGCAAACGACCTTGTGCCACCGAAGGCCGTGTACAACGAAGTGACTACGACAGAACCCGAAGCTCTCAAGACTGCAAACGAGTCTGTGGCTCCAGAGCCACTGGAGCCTCCAGCCCCTCCGAAGGTTGAAGAGGAGCACCGCCCCGGCCTTGGTCCCATGATCAAGAAGAGATCCGGGAAGGACATCGCGACTCAATTTCGAAAGGCTGCTCTTGCCGCAGGCGCATTCCAACCCCGTCAAGGCGGGGCCGGTGCGCGCTTAAAGGCCATGCAGGAGAAACTCTCCAACGAGCCGGATGGCATCACCAGTGTGGTCCCAGCTCCACTGAAGAGAGGTATGAGCTCGGACGATACGAAGAGCGGAACCCCTGATCTTGCCACTACGGAAGTCGAGAAAGATCAGCCTAAGACTAAACTTGGGCCGGGTGATGCTGTACCACGAGTTCAGATTGAGCGTACGGCGACCTCAGACAGCATTTCTAAGTCAGAAACACCTACGACGAAGTCTATCCCTGTCGAGCCTGAGGGACCGAAGGAAGAAACAAGAGCAGAGTCGCCGGATAAGACCCGGTCAGCTTCGCCACAAAGAAAACGTCGGCAAAGGCTAGAAGCAGAAGTAGAAAAGCACTGCACAGCTTTAGGGATTGATCCGCGGATCACCGAGGGCCGCGGAGCGGATTTGAATGAACTTCTGACAGAATTTGCATGGGATGGGAGGCTTGCAAGTGACCAGATTCTGGAGAATTTCGAGACCGACATTCGAAGGGAGATTGGCCGGGCCCAGGCCAGTGGCTGGCTCGGCCACGTCGAACATCAAGAGAGCAAGGTGCAGGAGCTCGGAAAAGCATTCGAAAAGGCCATCGCTGAATGTGAAGAGCTTGACGGGCTGTTGACGCTCTATGCGCATGAACTCGATACTCTCCATGAAGATATCGAATACATCGAGGCTCAAGGACAAGGACTGCAAGTGCAGACTGCCAATCAGAAGTTGCTGCAGGCTGAGTTGCAAAACCTCCTGAAAATGTTGACAATATCCCCATCAGATCTTCGCGCTTTACAGCTTACGCCTATTGACAACTTTAGGGATATTCAAGAAGTCGAGCACGCATTGACGTTAGTCTACAGCGCAATGGTGATTATCGATCCAGATTTGCGCGAGAATAAACTTCGTCAAGCTACTGCGAACAACCGCACCGGACTGGGAACGAATGCCGAAGCGGACCTCACCAAGATGCGGGCGGTGCGCGAGAAGAAAGAGGAATACAAGCGCGAAAGTATGATGTTCGTCAACCGCTTCAATCAGCACATGAAGGCCATGTTCCAGTTGGCTGAGCAGCGAACAAGTGAGGAAAATGCTAGCGTTAGCATTTCTTCTGGGACCTCCTCCCTCACGCTCAACCTGCGGGCTTATAATGCTTCGCGACAAGAGCTTTGGGTCTACAATGCCATGATGCTTTTCGTACGGGAGGTCAATCAGTACGAATGGCATACATTGATCGGCAGCTACGAAATCAATGTCAAGAGTATCTACCAGGAGCAGTTCCGAGACTTCACCATGGGTCTTAGGAGGACTGCCAGGCACCCCATGGGAGAGGAGCAAGAAATCCTTTTCACGCACCAAGACAAGGAGAAGGCAGAGGAGTCCAATCTTTCTACAGCAGCCCGCAAGCTTACGGTCAAACGCGGCCGGGCAGTCAAGACTCATGCCACGAGACATTCGATTAGCGAAAGACGGGACGGCAAAACCGACGCCTGGGCTGTATTTGACGCTGTGCTTGAGCAACAGGCCACGGCTATTTCGGAAGAACAAAATTTCATCGTCCATTTCTTCCATCTGAACTCGCAGTCGAATGAAAATTTTGCCGAGCTCGTGCAATCTCGGCCGCCTGAACAGCGCAAGCTGCCCAATCTGCAGGCGAAACAGCCTTTCGATCCGGATCGTAATATGGCCAAGATCGTGCAAGGTACCACCGAAGGGATCTACTCATTCTGGCCTACGGACCTCCAAGCGTTGGTGGAATGGGTTTTCAAGATGGATCAATTACAGGGCGTGGGCGTCTTGGTCTCTCTCGAACAGTGCTTGTCGAAGTATGAAGAAACAAATCAAGAATTCATCACTCGGACGGTAAGGACCCTTCACGACAGATTGACCGGTCTTTTCCACAAATTTGTTGAAGAACAAATCAAGGCGATAGAGGAAACCAAGGTGAAAGTAAAGAAGAGGAAAGGGCTGATTTCGTTTATGAGGATCTTCCCAGACTTCATAACAGTGGTCGAAGACATGGTTCCGCAGGAATTCGCCCACCAAGAGTCACTGGAAGTGCGCTTCATCGTCAATGACGCGTACACCAAACTTCTGAAAGCCATGTGGGAATCGCTCAATTTCATCGCCAAAGACAATCCGGTGGCAGAGTCTTCTAGTGGGGCAGCAACAGCACACTCGAACGCACCATTGAGCGGCGATCCAGAA